GTATTTCGTGTTGTCTACCATTGTCATACACCTGATTTCAAACGTACAGTTACAGTTTTATTTTTGATTGTAAATCAAATACATAATCATTAACCGGTAAGGTTTGCACTGATATCATTTTTGCTGACAAATAAATATGACTACTACTACTACAAAAGTAGTAGGTCACTGAACGCCACTAAGTGTACAGTTTTAAAAGGGCTGTGCTTCCTAAGCTAGAAGGATTCAGCAGCAACCCTTTCATTGCAGTTGTGGACAGTGTTCTTATAACTGTTCAGTAAACATTATATCAGTTCAACTGTTTTTAGGTTTATATCTTGAATAATATATTCGAACCATAATCTTTCCGATTACTGCTAATACTTCTACTACCTGTTCAACTATAGGATTTGAATCAGCAAATGCATCTCAGTGCTAATATAGTTTTGCAACTTGAACTGATGTATGTACGTACGAAGTTCTATGTTATAGATGGCTGACTGACTAACATCAATTTATTCGCTTAAAAACGTTTCACCAACCACATCGTGAGTTATCATTCAAGAAAAACTGTCCTACAAGAAAGTAATGACACATGAAGATAATAAAACCTATCCAGAAACAACAGCATCAGAACGAACTGAATAACTGCTTTTTGAATGATTAATGAAGTTATTTCTTGTTGGAATATTGGCATCAGATTCTCACATTCTCAACAGATGTGTACACAGAAACTGATAACACCTATTCATCATAGTATTTTCTGATCTACATAATTCGTTTCAGAAATTTATATATATATATATATATATATATATATATATATATATATATATATATATATATATAATCGTTCATAAGATTATCCACACACACAAAAACATCAGTCATTAAAAGTACAGTCAATAGATGAATTTCAATGAACTAACCTTTTCAATGTCCCATAAACTGAGTTTGGTTTCAGTGAGCATTGCATTGGCTATATTTATTTCTGTCAGGTTTAATGTTACCAACATCTTTTCACTTAATAAATTTGATTCATACAAATTCATGTCATTTCACTTTCTTACAGAGATTTAGAAAATCAAATCCACGCAGTTCTCTTATTAACGTCTCCTTAAACATATATATATCCAAATGAAGGATGTATCCTTTATAATTTAATACTAAGGTACTAATTTGAATTTGATAATAAGCTTTTTAGAACAAAGAAATTCTCAGTTGCAAAAAATCAATATTAAGCGAAATTTAAACGGAGGTGATTATGCAATGAACGCAACCATAATAATCACTTGTAATTATTTATTAAAATTTTAAAAAATGTCTGCATACAAAATTAAAGTGTAGTATACTCATTAATACATTGAACCCACACTGCTTGTCTCAGTTTTCGGACAAACTAATTAACCTTTTCTATCTCACTTATAATTCACTCGTCTTTTGACCCTGTCAATCATTTGCTTATAACGGTGGTTGTTTTTATTCCAGTGTGTTTATGTGTTTGCTAAGTTTGCTTACTACATGTCTAACTTATTTTGTTCGACTATAAAAACTTAGTCATGCTTTGTCGCATTCATTTGGCTTGCTCATCTTCCCCAGTTCGTTTCACTTCGCTTTTACGCGATGTATTCTCGTGTCTGTCTGCAGGAACAATTGCATGAAATTAATTTATCCGCAAAACCGCATGTGGTGTTTTATTACTGCCGTCACACAAACGGGTTTGGCCTATGATATACGAAAATGAAACGGAAGATTTTTTTTATTACGTACTCGTAGAAAATAATAGTCAGATCGCGGATCACTAAACTGGTAATCTCTACGTTGAGTTCAACGCAGCCGCTAAAAAGTAAAAGAGGAAAGATCTAATACGGAAACTCTAATCTACTGTAGAATTTTTATTGAACAGTGTTTTCTTTTAATATATGTATATAATTATTTCCTAGAAATGATAGGATGCAACCACTGTCTACATTCCCAGATTTTTCAATATTTATTTGGTCTCATTTTCTGCATACTAGTTCTTTCATAATCTTGCGTACAAATTCATTTGGTTAAGCCATGAAAGAATTTAGTTAAATACTGCTTAATCAATGACTATTTTCAGCATAACATCTTATGTAGAAGCTAAATATTGATGACATAAACTAAAAACTTGAAGTTAAAATGTTTAGTGACCTTGTTCTGATTTAGTTTAGTGAAAACAGCAAACAACATGTTTAAGTACATCATAATTATGTAATTAACAAACAGTGACCTAGAAGGCTAATAGACGACTTATTTTATATAATCGATTGATACAAATGTTTGAAAACATTTTTATGAACAGATTATGTTGCTAACTGTAAGCTTTGTGAAAGCGAAAAAGAATTTAACTGATTAGAAAATCCCTAGATTTGGATTTTCTGGGTTAATTTAACTCTATAGTTAAAATGTTAGTTAAACTGTCAAACTTTCTTTGTCAAATGTCACCTTTCAAGCCTCTATAGAGAATACAGTATTTTCAAAGTACTCTTTAAGTAAAAAAAGATAATCATACATTTTGAATTTTATCACTAAATCTTTCTTCCATTTAGTTATAAAATCAAAAAAACATCATTAATTAACATAACTGATATTTCGTGTTGAACCAAATTAAAGAAAGAAGTATTGCATGTCAGCGAAATGGAAAACAACTCACAAGGTATGTGACAAAAACATTTTAGCGATTTATTCAGAATGATATTTCTTACTGGTTAAGAAAAAGGTTTACGGAACTCAAATCAACAAAGCGATTTGTATTATTAAAAATTTATGTATGTGTGTGCGTTTAAGACATCAAATTACTTTTTGTTGGTGAGTTACTACTTCACAGTATCTGAGATAATTGCACTACACATGAATAAAAACATAAAAAAAGTATGAACTACGATTACTGACTTACTTACTTACTTACATACCTAATTACTTACTCCCAGCGGAGCATAGGCCATTGACCAGCCTTCTCAGACTTCATCTATCCTGAGCCTTCCTTTCCAGTTCTGTCCAATTTTCGTCCATTCTTCTCATGTCTGTCGCCATTTCTCAAAGTAATGTGTTCCTTGGCGTCCCGCTTTTCTGTTGGCCTTAAAGATTCCAAGTGAGGGTTTGTCTTGTGATGCAGTTGGATGATTTCTTCAATGTGTGTTCTATCCACTTCGAGCGATTCTTCCGAATTTCCAACTCCACTGGAATCTGGTTTGTTCTCTCACACAGTTGGTTGCTGCTGATGGTGTCTGACCGATGGTTTTTGTAGTTCTCCAAGTTTCCGATCCATATAGTAGAACTGTCTTGACATTTGTACTGAAAATTCTGATTTCGGTGTTTGTTGACAGTTGTTTTGAGTTCCACATGGTGTTCACTTTTAAGAATGCAGTCCCTGTATCGCTGGTCCGTGACTTCATATCTGCATTAGATACACCTTGCTTGTCAATGATGCGGACCATATATGCATAGGCTTTAACATACTCCAAGGCATCTCCATCAAGTGTGATTATGTTATTGAAAGTTGTGTTGTATCAGTAGATCTTGTTTTTCCCCTTGTGTATGTTTAAACCTAGTACTACAGAGGCTGCTGCTACACTAGTTGTCGTCTCTTGCATCTGTTGTTGCGTATGCGATAGAAGAGCCAGGTCATCTGTGAAGTCTAGGTTGCCCAGCTGCGACGTAGTTATCGACTATATCCCGTACTTCTCCGATGATATTTACGTCGCCACAATCCAGTCAAACACCTTCAGAAAGAGAAAGGGTGGGAGTAAGCAAGCTTGTCTGATACTGGTCTTTACTTGGAACTGTGATCAGTTTCATTAAAATCTTAAATTTGTGGTTGAAGTTCACCACTGAAAATAATCAGTAGGCAATTGCCTACACCCGACAAGGTTGAACTCCACTGGTCATGGCTTTTCACCAGAACTCCGAGAACCTCCTCACGAAGCTAACCACTAATGAGCACATTTTATGATAATCATTATTTAGATATAAAGATTATTGCCTAACAATTATTGATTGCTGATTTAAAATAAAAAAGAATAATGTCCATAACTCTAAAATGAATTTACTTCTTAATGATTAGACAACCACATTCAAAGATAAGTTTTAGTAGTTGAAAAGTAATTTTCTATGGTTATTTCTACATATAAGTAGAGATATGCATTTGGTTCTAATGGGAATTACCTGCAAGAAAAAGTTGTTGTTCACTTTTCTTGGATTCCATCTCTCGTCGCTACCCACCCTTATCAATATGCTTATCATCTAAAAGGCGATAATCGAGGCAATCCCCAGAGAAATGCACAAATGTCAAGTGAGATCGATCAATTGCAGTCACATTTATCAATAGAGAGATTCAAACTATCAATAGAAATGAATTACTTTTTACATAATTTTGTTTATTTAAAATAAATTTATTCTAGTTAGTCAAATACACATGTCCGAAATTTAAAAAAAGCAAACTGAAAAATAAAACCTTTTTGTTGTTACCTCAAATTACCGATCTTATGGTTATAAGATTTTTTTTTACATAGATCACTGGTATTTTTACTCAACTTTAATGTTTCTTCTCCTTAAAACCATAGACAATGTTGATGAATGAATGAAAAATTTTGAATTTTCCTCTTTGTTGTACATTGAAAGCTTATTTAAAAATAACATAAAAAGAAATTGTGGTCATCTTATTGACAAGTCATGAGTGAATAGGCAAAACTTTGTGGGCGGAAAAAGATTGGCCTACACTAAATGAACCAATCAAATTCATTTCAACTAAATTAATGACAATCGTCAGTTAAAAATTAACTTGATTGTGAATTACTCTTCTTTTTTTTGCGTTTGTTTCATCCATTACATTGGTAACATGACTACTGATAAAGTGTAATCAGTAAAATATAGAAATTTCAATTTAATTTTCACAACCAAAAAATAAACGTGCTGACAATTTTGAAGTTTGATCTTTTAATGTCCAATTAATAAGAAATTATAAAAAATTTCAGATTTCACTTTTTATCATGTTCAAAAGAACATCTCCTACCCTAATGTGATCTGGAATAAATTAATTTTTTTCTGTGTCAATTCAATGCGTTATGTTGAGTATTTGGTTGATCCAATGGAGTTGGCGCGTTATTCATCAACAATTACAATTGTTTCTCATATTTTTCTGTATTACATTTATTGAACCGCGTACTGTACGCTTTCAAATTGATGAAGAATTGAAAATTAACACACATATTGGCAGTTTGCTAAATCATGTACATGGTGGATTGAATAATTTACGTTTTGTGAAAATTTCTAATCTTGACGATTATTCTGAATTATTTTCAGTGGATGAATTCTCTGGAGATATAAGAAATGTGCGTAGATTGGATAGAGAAACATTATGTATGACAAATAGTCAGCTAGATATAGAAAAACTCCAGGAACAATCATCATCATCGTCATTTCATGAATGGACAATCAATTTTCCTTTATTAACTAAATGCGAATTATATTTTAGTGTGAATTGTTTAAATACTACACCATTTTTAAATATTTCCAATCATATGAAATTTAAAACACCTGTAAGTAATAAATTAGTAGCTATTTTCGATGTAATCATTGAACTTAAAGATATCAATGATAATGGTTGTAAATTTATTCCATCAAACCGACAAATTATTCGAATACGTGAAGATTCACCAGTTCATGAGACTCGCTTCACTTTAAATACTCCTTATGATCCAGATGACGCCAATGGTGGGAATTCAGTTAGACCAGATCGAGTTTGGATACGCAGTGATTCTCGCTTATCAAATAGTCAAAATATAAGAAATTTATTTCGATTACACAGTCTTTCATTATCGAAAAATCTTACCACACCCAATATTCATTTAGAGTTAGAACTCACTAATACATTGGATTATGAAACACAGAAAACGTATACATTTCAAATTGTAGCAGATGATGGCTTCTCATCTGGTAATCATCAATGCTACTTGAATGTCACAATACTAGTGGAAGATTGTAATGATCACATGCCAAAATTTGAACAATCCATGTATACTGTAAATGTAAGTGAAGATACATCAATCGACCAATTAATCATCAAATTAAAAGCTGATGATGAAGATGAACATGAAAATGGTAAGATTATTTATAGTCTCATATCATACACAGATGATACCGATGAGAAATTTTTCTATATTCATTCCGATTCCGGTGAAATTAGATTACAAAATCGTTTAGATTATCGACAAAAATCACAACATATTTTGAAAGTGTTAGCTAGAAATCCAGATAACACTACATCGAAACGTGATCAGATTATTTCAGAATTATCAGTAGCACAGGTTATTATCAATGTAATAGACATTAATGATCATTTTCCTCGTGTTCGAGTTCTATCTCCTACTGGTTCAAAAGATTTAGAAATAATTGAAGAATCACCTCCTGGACAAGATATAGGAATTGCAGAAGTTTCAGATGGAGATACAGGAATAAATGCTCAGGTTGACTGTAAACTAATAAATCAAACCATATCAGATATCCTACGTCTAATTCCAATCAATATTGACGGTATTCACTATGGTTTAACAAGCTCCAATCGAAAATACAAGATAACAATGGAAAGGCGAGTAGACAGAGAAGAACATAAAGTTATAGAATTCATTCTTCTTTGTAGTGATGGTGGAATTCCTTCACTAACAACTACTCTTACACAACGTATACAAGTTATCGATATCAATGATCATGATCCAATCTGTGAACAGAATGTTTACAAAGTTGAAATTTATGAAGATTCTCATCCAGAAAGAGGTAAAACCAATTTCGAAATTATCACCATCAATGCTACCGATAAAGATGAAGGTCAAAATTCAAAATTACATTTTAGTCTAGACCATGAAACTCCACCTGTTCTTTTAAATATGATCACAATTGATTCAAACTCAGGAACTCTTCGTACTCTTGGAAATTTAGATCGTGAAAAATTCGATCAATTCTCTGTGACTATTTTCTGTTCCGATTATGGTGAGCCGGCAAGAACTACTAGAATTTTTGTTCATATAAAAGTTTTAGATTATAATGATAATCCTCCAGTCTTTTCTCAACCTTATTATCAATTCGCTTTAAAAGAAAATAATGCAGTTGGACAATTAGTTGGTACTTTTTATGTCAGTGACAAAGATGTCGGTAAAAATTCAGAGTTGGAAATTTATATTGAAGAAAATCTTGAACAACCTAATATGCATTTAATTTCATTGACTAAGAATTTGAATTCACCTAATAATAATATTGAACAGTTAAGGTTAAATTCCAGAGGACTCTCTTCTATGTCATCAGGTTTACGTCAAAGAAGAAAGTACACTGAATACATATCAAAATTTCGATTGAATTCATATCCTTTACATAGAAATTATCATAATTCTTTTTTATCAAATGAAACATCTTATGAAGTAAAATTGTACATAGAATCTGTCATAGATCGTGAACATTTAATTATGAAAAGTACCAATTATTTATCGAAAACTTTATCTACTTATGAAACATTTGAAAGAGTTTATCATAATTATAATTATAATTATCATGAGAAATTATCACAATTTACAAATCAAACCAATTATTCCATGTTAACACCAATTATTTTTCTAATAATTCATGCACAAGATAAAGGTTTGCCAAAATTATCAACAACTATTCAATTACGTATTCAAATTTTAGATCAAAATGATAATTCACCACGTTTTCTATTTCCTAATTCAACAAATTTAAATAAAACTAAAATATCTGTATCATATAAAGAACCAAAAGGTTATGCATTCACACAAGTAAGTAATGTAATACCTTTTTGAAATATAAAGTTTATTTTTAAAAAAATGATTATTTGTCCAATGTTATCATAAATAGTGGGTTTTGTTTTAATTTCCAAATAGCTTTTTAGCACTTGATATGAATAAATAAAACAGTACTTTGTAAAAGAGTCACAGTTAATAATTACTGGGATGTTAATATACATGTTAACCATCTATAAATTTCAACTCTAATCAGCACAGATTTTCAAATGTCATGTGAAGAAATCTGCTGAAAAATTATAAAAACAGCATGAAAGCATTGGTAAAAATATATTCGCTTTTTTAATATGACGAAGTTAGGGCATGATGCTTCTCAAATGAATACATTTTGCAAGTCTTCTTGATAAAGTAACATATTTCCGCAAGTACAAAAATGCAACTCGGAAAGTTATATTCTTTTGAGTTTTTCCTCCATTTGAAAAAAATTACTTGCTGTGGTTTACTAGACGCTTAGCTAGTGAAGGGGAACAACAATCATGTTACTTAGAAAACAGGCTATACATGATTCATAAAATAACAGAAAGGTATAATATGACTGAACGAGGAGAAGACGTAAACGGCCTGAAAAATGTGATGTGTTTCGAATAATCTGGTCATACATATACTTGTCAAGGCATTTTATATGAAATGTATGGCGAAAATACATCACATTTTTCAGATCCATTATGTCTCCTTATTATTCTGTTAAAATTTATAACATGGATTATTCGGTTAAAATATTATGAATGATGTTGTTTAGAAATAAAGATCACTTTTTTATCAAAATATTGTTCGTTTCATTATTACTTCAGTTATTTATTAGCGTACATTAATAATTTTCATGTTTAATTAGTTTAGATCTATTATTTAGTTGAAATTAGTCAAAATCTGATCTTCTGTATGACTGATTTTTGACTTGATAGCTAGTACTATCATGTTTGTGGAGTCCCTAGTGCTGATCAAAGTTCTAATATGATCATTAGTCAAAGCATCTTGATAGTGAGTACACCATTTCGATATGAGGTGCTTGGAGTTAGTGTCAACTAGAAACTTGAAACTTTAGTTTCGAGCTAGTTAGTACTTGTTGAAAAAAAATAGACACATTGCACATCAGTTGACAAAATTTGATTAGCACTAAAAAAATAGATAGGAACGGCATTGACCATTGTTCAGCGAATAGTCAATGGTTTAAATTGTGAATGAAGATATTAAAAAAGGCATAGTACATGAAACAATGTCCGTCAAATAGCACAACGAAACATACTGATTATGAAGAGAAACAAATATGTTCTGCTAAATAAACCCATTGTTTTGTTCAAAGTAGAAAAATATCGACTTGTAAATAGACAAGAAAATCAAAACTTGCAATCTTAACATTTACCACTCAATAATTTCAATTTTACACTGGATTAGGCGGTTTGCGAGTGAAATTTCAATTTATTAATGGTATTTAATTCGATCGCTTCATTTTTACTCGGTAACAGCACACTTTCATGTAGATACAACATCATTCAAAGGTACAAATTCATGGAAGTCAAACTATCTGATTTTGGTTATGAACTAAGTTCTTCTATACAGTAGATAGTAAACGAAATAGTCAACATTCTACTCATTGTGAACCTTTCTCTCAACAATTTAAATTCTTAGTTTCTAATCGTATCGGATAAAAAACATGATTTACTTAAAATTTATTGAATAAGGTGTTTGATTATCTTTCTTACTTGTTAAGGTCACTTAAATTATCCCGATTAACAATATTGCCTAATAACAAAATCTGTTTAAACCAATGAACTATAGTTGTATGTCTAACCAACAAGAATCTCCCGAAAAATAAGTATTGATTTTGTGGTAGTGTTTGGTTCTCTGAGCTGGTTGTTTTGGTTGTGAAGCTTTCATTGTTCTTCTGAACAACATCATCAGCACAAATACTTCACTTCTCTACCTGAAGTTTGTGCTGATGATGTTGTTCAGAAGAACAATGAAAGCTTCACAACCAAAACAACCAGCTTAGAGAACCAAACACCACCACAATCATTCACCTGAGCCGCAAATTTCCTCCACCATCTCAGTATCGATTTTAAATATTATCAACACACAAGGCCTAAATGTGATTTGGAATTATACAGCTTCCCATAGTTTATCAACAGCTATATAATCTAGAAACCTAAAGGTAATTTTAAACAAATATCAACTGAATATCATCATCAAGTTAATATGTATTCACACTAATTTCAATCACTGTCGTTTTGTAATTAAGTGTAATTTCTATTCTGATATGTTTTCTAAAAATCTTCCACGTTAGTCAATGAGATTCTTTTCTTTTTATTTTGAACAGTATAGTTTTGTGATTCGAACAATTTATATTTATGATTAGTATACACAGACAATAACTTGATGTCATTTTGGTCTAAAGAATCAATTCAATAATTGCATCTCATAAATATGTCTATTGCTTCTATCGTAGTTTACATACTACGTAGTTTATAAAACTATTCCGAATTTCTTAACTCATGTAAAACTTAATTTTAATAGAAATGTACAATTAAAATGTATGGCTACAACACCTAATTATCCCCATTAACAATTATTCAGTATGAAATTAATTTAAGCGCCTACATCAACGCCCGTTTATTATATCTACATGGTAGTTACTGAAAATGGTCACTAGTTCATTGAATTTTACCGCATAACTTTTTTTCCAATTAATTTATATACCAAATACATGTTTATTTACTCCTTTTCGAATCACATACTTTGAGTATGAGCCAGCATTACTATTTAGCTGTTCGAACCAATAATATTTAGGGCAGTGCTCATAACTGCCTTCTACTAACTGAAGACTGAATAATACTCTTAGCACTAGGTCAGTGTTACATGGTAGAATTTCTATTAATAATTCATTTAACTCTACATTTACTTAAATATCGTAATTTATTTTTTTATTTTTTTACAAATAAAACAAAAATTTTCCTTTCAAAGTCATAAACCATATAGCCTAATTCTATTCACACTTTATTTATTACTGATAACTATTAATTTAGCTATATTGACATATAATTTAACAAACTCTGATTTAAATTTTAACACTGAACATATAATAATGTCACATATATTTTTAAATGAAAAAATATGGTAACTTTGATTTTAATAGCATCATAATAATTTACATATTTTACAAATATACTGAAAAATTAAATGCTCTAGGGAAAATGAAATTTTGGTTTCATTTGAATACTACATTAAGCTTTGTTCATGGATTTACATAAAATTTGGTAGACTGAACGTTAATAGTTAATGACATGTAAAAATACTATCCTATTTGATAATTTATATGATTTAATTATTCTTGTAAATATGTTTCACTATTAAAAAAATATACATATATATTTATGTAACCAAATACTTTAGTGCTTAAGTAGTAAACCAAGTGACAAGCATCGCAATCGTAAACATGTCTACCTACAATCAATAAGGTAATATTTCACATAGACCATTCAACGTCGTGATGAACGTTAACTGCATGTAAATCGACTACGACATTGGTATAAAAAGGTGACATGAAAAATATTAAATTTAAGAATAATTTTTAATCGAATATTTGCGGAAAATTTACTGACAAATGAAATATAAATAGTAACAATAATAAATTATTCGAGTATAAAGTTTGTATATTATTAAACAAAAATGATGAAAACACAATAAATATAATCATATATAATCATAAATCTCTGGGGAAATCAAATTTTCTTTTGACCAATTTTATTTTTAAACGATTTACAACTTTACTGAAAACAAGATAATTAATATGACAAACAGGTTTTATAATGTTCATATAAAAATTGTTTAATGGGAGAGAAAATCAACGAGTACAATTGGTAATTATGCGTAATGTTGATTGGTAATCAGTAAATGAATCATTAAATTAGGTATAAAAAAAATATCCGAGGACATGACGGACTAAAGATGAAACTACAGGACAAGAGATTTTGTTGACAAGTTTCAAGTAGATCAATGGAGGTTAATATAACCGGGAAGAGCAATCGATCAAATGAGGATTATAAAATGGACAACCATCATATTGCATAAAATTTAGATCAGGATTATATGTGACATAACATCGGAGTGAAAAATTTACCATCATCGTTACATCAAACAACGATATGGTTCTCAGGAATTCCGATCATTTTCCAATTCAGCTCGTTAATGACTTTTAGCCATTACAGCGCAATACTGTTTCAAGAATATGAGCAAAAATTTACAATGGAGAAATCTACAGAAAAATCATAATAAGCTATCTGCCCAGCTATTTTCTGTGCATAAACTCATTTGAATCGATTGTATGTACCGTTTATAAATTGCAACGAAGTGTATTTAGATTTTTCGGCTGTTTCGATTTCATCTTACAGTACGATAATATATGTTGACCGTCAACCGTATGTTGTGAAATGGATGATCCTGTACTTGTGGTTTGTGCTTAAAAAAGACAAAGACTATTATATATCGACAGATATTATTTGAATAGCAATCTGTGTGCTTTACTATATATTAAAGCAGTTCAGCAAATAAACAAGATAACTAGTCCTTTATACTGTTGCGAACTAAAAAGAAATTAACGTGGGGCACTTTGAATGAAACTGCATCCAACGGTTCCCTTAGTGACTAAATTAAACAAACTTTATCTGTCAGTTGAAAATTCACGTTGCGAACATTGTTTCCGATTATATAGTCATTAGGCTTCACTCTAATACACATGTATATATAAATGAAAATGTTTAACCACTCAAGGCATTCGATGAGTCAATAACTACAATGAAATGAATTACGTAATTACGCATATCAGGTAAAAGTACAAACTGTAAGTGGTAAGAATAATGAAATACAATAACAAACGTTTTTTCTCCATAGTAGTACGTTAAACAGAAATAAATAGACTTGAAATAATAATCACCAGACACTATTAAAATTATGTAATAAGAAGTGTGTAAATAATTAGATTG